ATATAAGAATCTTTGTGTTTTTGTTACCTTAGAATGAGCTGTATATATCTACAGAGGGAGTGGGTCCTCTTCTATGGAGTCTGCTAAGTTGAACCAATATGCTTCTACAGTAGCCCATAATGGACAAACCAAACACTGGCTCTAGATAAGACCTTTTGCAGCCATGTAGTGTCTCCTGCTTGGACCGGCAGAGTGAGGCGAGGGGTTTTTAATCTGCAGCGTTACCACTAGATGCCACTAAATACACACTGGTCCTTTAAGACTGGAATGTGACATCTGTTAAAACACATGTCATAGAAATGTATAATTTCTGTAAAAAACATGTTTTACAGCACTTGCAGTAACTACACAGAAGCTTCCACATTACTGCACTGCAACAGACATAAGCTAGCTGGGGTGCTAGCTTGAGCCAAAACTAAAACCAAATGTATATATTTTTCCCTAGCTGTTATCTGTGAAACAAGGCAGAGGAAACACTACTGCTGTTGTCCAAAGGAGTCGTTAGAATCGACACCAAAGGACATTTTCTTGTTGCCGCCTCAAGCAAATGTTTGCATGCTAAGATATATGATGATCCTAAACATTAGCATTGTCATGGGCATGTTAGCATGCTGACGCTAGCATTTAGCTCAAAGCTGTGCTGTATTGTAGGCTACAGCCTTGAGCTGCAATCATGGCTTTAGAGCAGGGGTCTCAAACTCAAGTTGTCTTGGGGCCACTGCTGGTGTTGTCATCTCAAGGAGGGTTTCTATACATTTTATCATCATTTGATATCATTTTTGTTGTTCACAGCCATACAAAGAAAGGTCTGAAACTTGCTCTGGTCAACTGTTTGCATGCATTTGCAGGGACGAAATAAATGTTTATAAAGATAGTATTGTGTTTTTATTTTAATTATATATGAAGAGGTAATTCAATTTATATGAAAAAACTAGAATCATATTGATTGTAAAATAAATGCCAACAGATGGTAGACATATACCATCTCTCTATAAGTAAGGGCACATTAGCCAGATACATACGTATTTGAAGTGATGGAAATAAGCAGCAGATTTGCCCTGCTGTTGAATAATACAGAGGGAGAAAAGCCCGATCCCTCCATTGATTTCCCCCTATCTCTTGCTATGCGTGATGTGCCTTTAAGAGGGCTGTGTCTGTTTGGCTGCTCTCCAGAGAGTTGAGTCAAGTCCATTTGATGCTAATACAGCCAGACAGTCACCAGCAGGCTATGCACAGCCACAGCCCCACAGTGTACTGAGGACGACGGTCAGCGTGGTGCAGGGGAAGTCCACCATGCATCCTGCTAACACAGGATATCATATTACAAGAATACATCAGTGTAATAATGTTGGGGTGTTGCTGCAGGCCCAGCTGGCTGCACTTGGGGGGAGGGTGTAATTCTACTGTCTACATCTCTGGGACTTGATTGTGTGTGTAATTAGGATTCTGTGACCCTCAGTGTTATAGTGTGTATCTGTTTAAACGATGAGCTTAAACCATATCTTATTCATCACCAAAATGTTATCAGCAATAAGACTGGCAACCTTTAATGGTCTTAGGACTGCATTGCAGCCTTCCTGGCAGCTGGAGGCTGAGAAATCACTTCCATCATATTAGGACGCCAGCAAATGGGCGGGATCAGGAAACAGCAGGGTTTATGGGAAATGTGGTTTTAATTAGAGACAGACCATTCACAGACAGGAAATGTATTCACGCTTTGAGTCACTGAGTGCATTCACATGTGATAGAAGTAAGAAGTAAGCTAAGCTAACATAATGTAATCCTCCAAAACATCAATCTATCATTCCCATGAATTAAGCCCAACTCAAAAATGTATTATTGTAGTAATAACTCAGTTGTTTTGATTGAACTTAAATCTGTGCAGTATTTAATTATTGGTGATTTAATTCCAGTGTGTTCCATTAACTCATTTTGATAATAAATTAATTGTGAATTGTTTTTTTTTTTAAATTTTTTTTATCATATATCAGCTGTTTTGACAGGTAATTCTTTAGTGGAAGAAAACTGAGTAAATTTAGTTTAAGTGGTATAAAGAAGGTTCATTTGTCTTACTTCATTCAGATAAAATCTGTTTTACTGTTTTTTATTTTGTTATATGTTTTAAATAAGTTTGGATAAATGCTGCATATGACTGTGATATGCTTACTAGTCAAGAGTTTGAATTAACTTAATTTACCTTTCCTTAACAGTAACTGAGTTACTTGTACTCAAATAGAATATTTTTCAAATATTTCATAAATCAAGATGGTGCTTAATCAAGACGCATCTTCAGGCAGACGATCAGAAACCTGGATACTGTTATGATTGCAAAAACAGGGATATGAATAACCCGGGGTTTCATGTTCCATGTAAATGTCATATCCCAAATATGATCAAAACATATGATCATAAATGTACACTTCTTTTTATCCCAATTGAAATCATTCTGATTGAAGATTTCAGGTCAACTATTTACATGCGAGGCCTATAATGGGATAATTTTTTAAAATATACTCTTTTACTTATAATGGCATGTGCAAGGCTATATAAAAATGGCCATAGTTTGTCATAATTTGGAGAAACAAAGTGATACACAGCTGGTGGGAGAAAGCACTTGCTATTTGTTTCAACAATGGACTAATTTGTTCACAGAAATAACATCAGTATCAAGTATCACTATTACGGTATATTTGCAATTAATGTTAGATTTCAATTTCCAAGTTTGTCATGTTTGAAATAAATTCTTCGCTGTGTGCACATAAAATAAACGTTGAGGTTTACTGAACACATTTATCCTTCCAGGGAGATATGTATGAATCTAAAATCCTGAACAGGTGCTGAGACAAAAGTCAAACCCACAACACAGAGGAACTCCCTGTCTATTGCACATACCGGAGTCATTCTCTACTCCTCCTTTATTCAGCAACAAATAACTGCAATGTGACTGAGTAAACCTCAAAGGAAGAATGAATCAGTCAGGTTTCTGAATGTCTGCTGTCACATAGTGGAGCGAAATGGAAGCTGAGCACCTATAGCCACAAGGGGGCACTTTATGTCAGCTAAACACAGGGTTGATAGGGGAACAGGCAAATATTTAATGAAAATGTTCTAGGCTATTTCATGGTCACCTTGGTTGAAAATTATTGTGAGTTTAATCCTAACAGAACACATATCCATGATGATTGAAAGGGTTAACCCATCACGCCATCCTGCGCTTTGTTCCTGGATAGAGAACGGAACATTAGGCAAAACAGGCAGACACAGAATACATTCATTCATATCTCTCCTGCGTCCTCCTGATACACTGCACATTTGCATTACTGCTAACTCACTACACTTCCCTGTGTGGCAGCATACAGTGCAGCCCTGCTGTCCAGACATACTGTTCATACACAGACTGGAAAGGTAGTGATGATGGGCTGTGTAGAAAGTCAGTGCTTACACACCTGACAGATCTGTTTCAGATTTTAAGTTGTGACAACATCCTAAATGAGTATATAGTATTCAATGAATTAATATTAATATTTGATTATTGAAATGAACAGTATGTAATTTCTGCTGCGATGGGAGTCTTTCACATCAAAACAATAACAAAAGTTGAAGTTTGAGGAAGTTCTAAGCTGCCTACACAAATATAAAAGTTTAAACCTTAGTCAATATTGACATTCTAAACATGTAGTTCAGTTCACCATGAAACCATGAACACCAAATTTTCAAATGATCAAATAAATTATTCCTAATTCATATGTTATTCTAGATTTGAAGAAATGGTTTATGGGAAATGAAGTCACTAGCTGCAGACTGCGCTATAAAAGTCAATAAAGAATTTACATTTTTTTTTTATAAATTTAAGAGTTTAAAATCTATTTGAATCATAGATATGAATGGTAAATAAAATGTGCTTTATTTAGGGTGTTGGTTTGTTTAGGAAGCATGTTCTGTTGTCTTATGCTGCCACCTAGTGGTACCTTTCTAGCAATTTTCACATGGACAGTAGCTGCTACAGTATTGCTCAGGCTGGAGATACATTTCTATAAAGTTAATTGTTTGTTTCTGAAGGTATAAAATGTAGTTGATTCTGAAATTCTACATCTGTGTTTTAATGCAAAAAACAATAATTTTGTGCACAAAACAAAACAGTATTCTTGATGATAATTAAAACAAAGTAAGTAGTGAAAAAAAAAAGCTCCTCCAGAACAGATAAAGATATGCTTTCATTTAGTGTGTTCTGATGATGGTCTTTTCAAAATCTCCCATAGGTGTTCAGCTGGGTTGGGATCTGGGCTCATATTTGTTCATTTCAACAATAACATTTTCCTGAATTAGTTAGTTCATTTCAAAGAATGCCCCTTGAGGTGTGCTCCCCTGCAGCCATCCTGAAGAGAATGTAACATTTGATAAATAGCTAAACAGCTATTATGTATATATATATATGATTCTTTAGTCAAAATTGCCCTTTTATAAACCTATAGGCCCTTGGCTGGTATGTATAAAACCTTCAGGAAATGGTCTTAAGAATGGCCATAAACTTTAAATTATAAGTCGGAAAGTGCTATCAGTTATCAGTGCTGACTAGAGTGACTCCTACGTGTAAAATAAGGACTACAGCCATACCCACAATGCCCTCTTTCTGCATCAGCCAATAGCAGGCCTCCAAGTATAACCAGGGCTGCCAGAGCTGCATCACATCATCACAGCTTCATGCAAACTATCATTCACTGTATCTAACATTGTGCTTCAATACGTTGAAATATACAAACGTAATATTACCTATTCTTTACACTGTGCAACTATCCTTTATATATTTAGATGTATATATTTTATATTGTATACTGTATCTTCTTCTATATACCAGTCTATATATCATTATATTTTTCAAATGATAACATTTAAAAACTGTGCAATTATATTTATTTCCACTGTGCAGCTACCTCCTTCTGCAATCTTGTGCAATTTCATCAATATTTCAAGGCAGGGTTAGTAAGTAAGGCAAGTAATAATTTCTTTTCATGAATAAATCAGTTTTTATTTGGTTTACAAGTATCATAAAATAACTATATCTGAATTTCATTATGCCATGTTGATTGATTCACACCTTTATATTAAACCTCAATAACATTTTAAAGGTTTTTTTAATCAAGACAAGGATTTGATTATTTGATTTTAACTTATTTACAGGGCAGGTTATTTAGCAATCGTGTGTTTGGGAGTGGGGTTGCAGGAAGGGTCCAGGTCATCTACAGCAGTGTGCAGGTTCTTCTTGGGTGCACTCCATCTCCTTCACCGGCAGTGTTGTGTGCTCCATCCACCTCGCTGCCAGCTGTAAGATGCACAGCCTTTACGCTGGAAAGTGACAGTGAATACAAGTGTTCAACTGATTAAGCTTAAGCATGAGAAGCAGTTGCAGCAGGAAAAATGTGAATATTCTTCAAACCTGCACTAGATAAGAACAGCTGACTGAGAACCAGCTGCATGAGAAGAAACATGATGATTGAGACTAGCATCTGCCTTCCACACAGTGAGCAGGAGATGTTTAGCTTTCTCTCAGGCGTATAGAAAGTCTTGCTGTGTATGTCTAATAATCCATTCCATTGTTATTTTTAATATTTAATATCTATCTCAAAATGTACACAGACACGTCCTGTTTCCCTCTGGGAACGTGTAAAGTTGACCTCTGCAGTCTCATGAGGCAATGTGTATGTATATACATATATAGGTATATGTTACCTTGTGGGAGTACATTTTTCTCAAAGTAGCCCGGCATGTTCATGTTGCCAGCTGGCCGGTACTGCCCAACCACAAAGATCTTATGGCCATCAGTGGCCATGCCCACGCCCAATTCAGTGCTGTCTTTCCACACCACCTGAGTAAAATGACCTGCAGGGACAAACACAGCAAATTCATAACACTGTACATTTACAACTGAAACTAAATAAAAGTAAATTCATAGAAACTACAGCACAGGATCTAATCTAACTGACCCATCCTAAGTCCTGCCATGTTTTCTTTAAGGAACCCCTTTTCCATTATTTAGTAAACAGACGACCCCTGACTCATTGACATATAATATGTATATGTCATATTATATCCAAAACTGTACAAAGAACCCAAACAGTGAACTCAGTAACTGCAAGCAGTTTGTGTAAAACCAGTGATTTGGATGAATTTTGAGCAGATTGTTTCCTGTTTAGGGAACCTTTTATACAATTCTCTGCCTGTATTATGTATTTTTAGAAATTATTTTTCACAATCAAACAGACTTAACAGGCTTCTTTTTTCTTGTCGCAGCCATTGTTTTATTAGACAATTTACTTTAAATGTACTTTTCTTCACAGAAGTGAACCAAATGCTGTTATAGGCCTACTGTGTATATATGTAGGCCTATGTATGTTTTAGTCATCGTGATTTTTAAAGTTTTTTTTTTTGGCCTTTTATTGCCTTTATTTGATAGTGATAGCCGAAGACAGACAGGAAAGGGAGACAGAGAGAGAGGGGATGACACGCAGCAAAGGGCCGCAGGTCGGATTCAAACCTGGGCCGCTGCAGCAACTCCGTACATGGGTTGCCAGCTCTACTGACTGAGCTAACCAGGTGCCCCAGTGATAGCCTATTTTAGGGATATACCTATATGTAACATTAACTTTTATATGCAATTACACATTTCTAATATGGACTTCCTATGGAACTTGTCAGGGTGATTATGTTTTACCGGTGCCGCTTTGGAATCCAGGGCTGCTCCATTTGTAATCCTTGATCTCACTGTACCATGAATCCACTGCTTCTTTCCCTAAAACACGACAGAGACATAGAGAGAGAGAGAGAGAGAGAGAGAGAGAGAGAGAGAGAGCAAGAGAGAGAGAGAAGAGAGAGAGAGAGTAAGTTTGAGTAAAGGACTGGGAAGATGTAGGAAAAAAAAGAATGATCTAATAAAAGGATGGAAAACAAAAGGGTTGGATCTATAACCCACCTGTCTGGTTAAGGGCAACTGAACTCGACATGGCGTAGACGTTCTCTCCGTCCTTAGTGTCACTGTGCTTCAGGGTGTTTGCTGTCAGCAGGTGATCGGCCCATGTCTGAGCCGCAGCGCTCAGCTCGCTGTTAAGGGTCAGTGGCGGCGTGTTGTGCTTTGCCCTGTAGGCATTGTGGGTCTCCAGGAACTCCTGTTGAAAGCTTTCATCTGCACAGAAAGTCATTATCAATTGATGAGCTTTTAGCGCTTGGAGGAAACTTATGCAATTACTGATGCTGGCATGTTCAGGAAGGACAGGATGAATGCCTTGTGATCACACAAATATCCTCAGTGATTTTGTACTCTTGTGGAAAATAATTTCTGAGCATGTAATGCACTAACCTGCCATTGTGTATGTGATTTTGAAATCTGAAATTAAATAAGAACAGAATAATGAACAAAAATTCCCTCTAAAAATAGAAAAAAATACAAAAATGATTGACAAATTCACAAATATTCTGAAAAAGCATTAGTCAGGTGCTCACGCAAAGTATGATGGTGTTGAAAGGAGCAACTTCACACAGCAAACACAAATACCTTTCTGTGACAGCAGTATTCTCCGGCACTTACCTGGTTCAGGGGGGTTTCCTCTGGTCTGCACAGATGAGGTCTCCTGTAAAGATACAGTGTCTCTTGCTGTCTCAAAAGCCGGTATTTATATGCACGAGCCGGCCCTCTCCCTCCTTATCTTTATGGAGGAGGAGACAGACACCCAGCCCTCAACTGTAATTATTTAACTCTGCCACATATCCTTATTGAAAATGACTCATAGTACACAGGATATTCCACATTCTCACATTTCAATTCAGTGATTCTTCTGCAGGTTTTTTGGGTCATTTTCCCAGATTGCCCAGAAACAGCAGATAAATACATGTTTCTTTTGTGATTACCAAATCAATTATATGATAATAAGTAGGCGTTATTTTGGTTCTTAGGTATTTCTTTGTTTGCACATGAGTTCAGCCACAGACAATATCCAGTTGTAGCCTCCTGCTTAGTTTGGGCTACCACCCTGGATCTAGGTAAGTGTCTTTTAATAACAGGCAATTAATATGGCAATTAAAGAACTGCAGACATACTGTTTCACCAAAGTAAACATGTAAACAAAGAGCAGATGAGTGGAGGAATGTTAAGGTGCTCTCAAACAAGTTGTGGTAAATTCCTCCAGTAAAGAGCCGACTCCTTCCTGCCATCCGTCAGCCATCGCCTACAGTTGCCGGTGGTTTTAACGAGTCGTGGCATGAATTAAACACAGACAAACAGAAGACTTCAAAAGCAAATGGACCTCATTAGCTGACTATAAAACACTGTACTCCAAGGCCCTTTATTCATGCTCCTGTTTACCACAAATTCAGCAAATGTTGTCCCAATCATAGTGATAAGTTACTTACCACCAAAGCTTTACTGTGGCACAGTGGTTGTCCTGAGGCAGAGGGGTCCACAAACAAAAGTTTGGGTTCGTTGAGTAAGTGTTTCTTATTCAGGAAGGTCCCTACCGAGAGCCAGTGCAGGCCCGGCCCTAACCAATTTGGCAAGATTTTAGGTGGCGCCCCCTTGCATCGCAGTAAATTCCACTGCCAGTTATATACTGACGCAAGAAACTGAATAGCTTTGTCTTTGACATTTTATTTTATTTTTAGAGAAACAAGTTTTTCAATCAAAACAGTTAACAAGAACATAATAAATTAGAAATAAATAATAAAAGAAATGTAATATAAATAGCCCACACAAAGTGTAGAATTTAACTACCTACAAAATAAAAGAAGTGATAAAATGAAGTATAAATACAATATAAATAAGGCACTGCACAAAATAAGATATTAAAGAATATTCAGATTTTTTCCCCATTGAAGTGTCTGTTGAAATACTCATGTTGACACCTTCGTCCGTCCTGATGTTTAGGGAATGTGAAGGTGTTTTCAATTTGAAATGGACCTCTGTGAACTAACCCTGTTCGTACGTCATCAGTTAGAGGAGATGGCCAGTCAGCAGGGTCTGTTGGTGCAGCCTTTATTCCTGATGCTGCATCACTGGGTTCTTCTGAGGTGGAGGCGACAGGAGGATCACTTGATGCTGTTGAAGTGGCAATGACATTAGACGGCCCAGGATTTGCAGGAGGTGGATTTAGATATTTCAACAGCGCATCTGAAGAGAGAAGAGGAGTAAGAGACACCGTTGGGTGTTACAGTCCAATAATAAAAGAAATGATTCCAAGAATAAAATTAAATAATAAAAATGAACAACCTAAGAGATACATTACTTTCACTGTACTGTACATGAATGATATACAGTGCCATTTTTCTGATATGCAAATTAGATTAGATTTAATCTTATTGTCATTACAGTGAAATGCTGATTAGCAGAATGTAAAGAAGCAGTAAACTGCAGAATAATATAACATATGGGAATGTATTAACATTAATGATGTGCACTTTAACATGGATGTAAAGTTTAACACTATAAACACACTTTAGACAATACTGAACTGTAACACAACAAACAACAAGGCTTCCAACTCTAATATATAAAGGTGTGTGAGAGCAAACGTTACCTAACAATAATAAATACAAATAAAAATGTAGATAAATGTTAACAGCTGCTGAATAGATCTAATCTTTACAAATGTCCCTGAGAAATAGAAGGTGGGAGTATTATATATATTATTGGCCCCTCCATAACATGAACTGACGTTAAAACGAGCTAACACTATTTACTGATTAGCAAACCGTGTTAGGCTAAAGGTTACTATCGTTCAGCGACAGACAAATCATTTCATCCCATTATCTTCACTCTACCTCTGTCTTTGTCATGTTTTTCCTCCTCTTCTTTTCTTTTTTTCCTTCCCTGGGCACTGGAAAGTTTTGGTGGTTTTGCCATTGTTAATGGTTTCTGGGGTGACGTCAGAAAACTCCACCATCTCTCAGAGAGCAGGTAGAGTCTAATGAGTCAGAGGAGGAGGGGGGGCGGGGGGCTTCATAAAGTCTTATTATTGTTTAATAGGCTTTGCTATGCAGTTCAATTAATGTGGGCTTATTTCATACTAATAAATAATAGCACCAACTTGTTCTAGTGTCAAAATATTGAAAGTTGCACCTTTTGTTTTTTTTCCTTCCCCCATCGTGGCGCCCCCTAGATGGACGGCGCCCTTAGCATTTGCCTATACTGCCTATGCCACGGGCGGGCACTGAGCCAGTGATTGGTCCATTCTAGGCTACTGTAGAAATATGTTGGTTCAACATGTTGGACTTTGTAGATCATTATCTTATAAAAGGATCATATTTTTGCATGTAAAATCTTACTAAAAATAAATGTAGTAGAGTACAAAGTACAATATTTATCATAAAAGTATGAAAGTACAAGTCAAGTTAGCATACAGTGGAAATACTGGGTACTGGTCTGTTTGCACCAATTTTTCATGAGAGAATTTGTGTGAACAGACCCTTTAAAATAATCAGGTTAGACTTGAAAGGCAATGTTCTGTGGAAAGTAGGGTACAATTCTGTGGAACTTGCTGGCTTAGTAAACATACAGTATCACATAACCACTTCCATTTCGCTTCTGTTTGAACTGCTGTGTATAAAGCAGATATTAGACTGATAGCCAGGGTCGGTTCCCTTTGTTTGTTTTGCTACACATGTCACATGCTTGTGAATGTGCGCATTCAGTTGCAATTGTTACGAAACATTGTACTGTTACTACAGACAGGTAATTCGGTACAATAACATTTCATAGAGGATAAATAACAACAACATAAGGCTACTGTTTCAAAATCATACAAAGAATACATTTATTTATCACCAGAAAAACAAAAATGTAACTACAGTGAAATAAACTTCTTCTTGTGCTTTTACATTGGCTGGTATCAGTATCAACATTATGATCTGATCTCTGTGAATGTAAACTTCAGTTTCAGGAGTTCGTTAAGCAAAATTGATTCACTGAGACATTTGCTTTTACATGGGACAACAAACAACACTTTTGGAATGTAATGGCTAAATAAACACACAATATTGCCATATTTTACTATTATTGTTTATTTCAGGAGCCTGAATGGACATACAATAAAATAAAACAACATTTGACACAAAAATGGATGAAAACGTCTCTAAGCAGGCTTTCAGCAGAGCCCATGTCCTTTCCCCCTGTAATTCTGACGATAAGTCATTGCCAGAGACAATCAGCAGCTTCAGTGTTCCAGTAAAGATTATACATGTGCAGCTGCTCTTGATTTTTCACATTTATTTTTTTATTAAAGAAAGACATTTATATAAAGAGAGAAGAAATCAAAGAACAGACAGAAGACCTCAACAGTACATTTGTATTTGTGAGAAAAATAAGCTCCATTGCACACCGTAGGAATATAGTACCAACAAAAACTGGCTAATTCTGACGATAACGTGTTTTGAACACAACTACAATTTTACAACACTTTCTTTGGCAACTACAGTGTCGCAGCATTCCATTCTCTAGTGTCTTTAAATCACCCAACACTTGCACATAATGAAAGGTTTCATCTTTGCACACAACAGGGGAATCGGTACATTGTATACTTATGTATGACATTAAAAATAATGACTCTGAAACACGTCAGAACAGGTTCCTGTGACTGTCAGGAGTCTTTATGCAAAACAGACCAGCAAATCCAATGTCCTGTACATGTAGACATCATGTGCTGGTTTTAGGAACATTGATGGACCATGTCCTAGTTTAAAGTAATACAACAAAAAACAACAGGACACATACTGAAATGATGATTATATTTTTGCATGTAAAATCTCTGCAAAAAATAACCAGAAGTGTAGAAGAATATGAAGTACAATATTTATAGAGAAAAGGTATAAAAGTCAAAATAGCATTCAATGGAAATACTCAAGGAAAGTATGGATATTGTTAGCTGGATATAACCATCCTTAGCAGATGTTTAGACTAAAGCATTTTATGATTTACACCCTCAATGCAGTGGCTGTTTGAGGGGCAGGGGCAAAAAAGAAAAAAGAAAAACCAGAAAAAGAACCAGCGCGCAGAAAGCTGCGATGCAGTTATAGTAAAACAGTTTAGTCAGGGTTAGGATAAGCACTCTAGAGTGCACTTCATCACGTTTTCTCAATTAATTTCAGAATTATATCCAGTATCACTGGTCAGAGGAAGTTTCCAATTTGACAAAATCCTTGTTTTAGCTGTCAAAAAGGCTAGGAATACAGTTTTGATATCTTTCTTGCCAACAACAGGACTAGGAGAGAGATTTATATTTATTACTGTCATTGAATGAAACACATGAAACCAAAAGTAATTGTGCCACAACATATGAATCAAAGTTCCCTCTCATCCTGGATCCTTCTATGGAATGTGATAAAAACTGGTTTATACAGTCTATCACGTTACAATATGGGCTATGACCTGTGCACTTGTTTTCCTTTCATTTTCAGTCTGAACAGACATGTGACTCATTTGTCTCAAGCATTTCATTTCAATATGACAAAAATGATGTTCCTGAAACTAGTATATTCCATCTATATGTGCATTCCACAATCTGTACTCAAACATCTGCACTGCCTTTGACATTTGTTGAAATGGTCAAACAGGCAAAAGATCTAATTTGCATGTAGGCCACTGTCACAGGAACCTGTTTTTGTCTTCTGGAGATCATCTTAAATGTCATCCCGCAAGTACAGATTCCTCTGCTGGCATTATCATCATTAT